GCGTGACCTTCGAGTCACCGATGTTGAACCACTCGCGGCCGCTCCGGACGAAAGCGGTGCTGCAAGCGCAAGCGCGGTTCCAAGGCGGGTTAGTCTCGAGTCTCGCGAGGCGAAGTCAAGACATCAGGAGGAGAAGACGCACTAGTGCCCGCTGCTCAAGTTGCCGTAGTGGTTCGTGACGCCAAAGAGGTCGTAGACATAGCCTTTTGGCGGGCCTGTCGCCTGGGAGTGCTGGTCCATCATGGGCGGCGGGAGGAAGTTGGTCAGGTCGAGGCCGGCGAGCGGGTACTGCACTTGTGTCTCGATCTGCGCGTGTGGCGTCGTCAGCGGTTCGTACGCATTTTGTCAGACTCGACAAAGGCAGGCGCACCTTGTCGCTGAAGGGTCCGTGGAACGAGAAGCGCTTGAGGTGGATGACCAGGATCGGCGGCAGCTTGGACAGCGACAGCTTCTTGACGGCTTTGCGGTTCTTCTTGCAGCGCGGGCAGTGCCTGAACCGTGCACCGTGGGTCAGCTGCATGCGAGAGCGAGAGAGCGAGAGAGCGAGAGAGCGAGAGAGCGAAGGAGCGAGAGAGCCCGCACCATGCGTCGTCGCCGTCGAGGACTTCATCCCGGACGAACTGCTCGAGGCAGGCCAAGAGCGACACCCGGCTGATTCCACGACCTGCGGGTATCGGCACCGAGAGCGGCATGAACGTGTTGTACGTCGTCGAGGTCTGCGGAGAGAGGGGGCGTGTCCTCAATATCTGCATCGGAGGGGACAGGGGCGGGCGAGAGGGAGACGCCGCGCACCTTCTGACACGTCAAGCAGCGCAGCTGGTTGCGGAACTGGCCCTGGAAGCACTGAACGATGAACGAGTCGTTGCGCATCTTGTAGATCTGCCACTCGCGGTCGCTCATGACCTGCGGCGGGAGCGTCTCGAGGTCGTGCTCGCGCTCGGGCGTCATCTCGACCGGCGGCGGCTTCTTGACGACGTAGTTGCAGTCCTCGTGCAGGCCGTCGAGGAGGAAGCCGAGGAACTCTTGCGCGTCGTGCTGCTCCGAGCCCCGGAACTGGGGCGCGACGCGGCAAATGTTCTCGCGGAAGGTGACGGGCGACAGGAAGTGGTACTGCTGCGCCCACAGCGCACGGATGAGCTCGGCGACGGCGTTGGCGAGCGCTCCCTTTGTGCCGAGCGGGTTGTACACGTTGATGTCCTTGCGGTACGTGCCTCCTGCGGCGTTCGGCGAGGGATCAGTGACGCCGTTCGAGCGTGACGCAGAGGAGAGAGAAGAGAGAGCGCACCGGTGAAGTAGCGCGCGAACGGCACAGCGGCGCTCAGGCACTGAATGGTCGAGTTCATGTAGCACGTGTTGCCCAGGTTCTTGAGCCCGCTGATGCCGATCACGCCCTCCTCGAAGCTGAGCAGACCCGTGGGGAAGCGTGAGTGCGCCGCCGAGTACTGCGCGGGCTGCATGCTCGAGAAGGACGAGTTGGAGCGCATCGGTGCGGGCTTGACTGGCGGTGGACGGGCCAGAGGGACGGGAGGAACGGGCGAGTACGCCCCGGAGGGAGCAGGCGGGGGAGGCACGGGACGGGTGGGGTGGCTGACTGGGGGAGGTGGTGCGCGGTGGTGGAGCTGAGGGTAATCGATTGACGGGCGAGCGTAGTCGATCGAAGGGCGCGAGTGGTCGCCGCCGTTCATGTAGTACGACGATGACGGCTGCGGTGACCCGCTGCCGTACATGTCGAGCGTGCCGCTGCGAGACCGGGGCACGGGCGCAGACGAGGAAGGCGGCATCGAGTGGAGGTAGTCGTCCGCTCGCGGCTGAGCGTAGCTCTGTCGGGCGTGAGGAGAGGACGCAAAGGGGTCGTATGCCGGGGCAGGGCCTGACCGCTGTGCAGCGACGGGAGGCATGGCAAGGCGAGGCGACACCAGCCCGGCAGGCGTGCTGCTCGTTGGAGGCGGAGGAGCGTAGCCCGGCGAGGGGAAGTAGGCGCCGTTGGTCGGACGATCCTGCACGTAAAAAGGCGTCAGCCCCAGTCGCGGCGCTTCCGCTCTGTATGAAGAGGGCAGGCTAGAACGCACGTGAGAGCCGTCATCGTTCGCCGGCGGCAATACTGCAGCCCGCCTGTGCGCCCTCTTCGCCTCTGCCCGGTCTGCCTCGTCTTGCTGAAGCCTCGGCGAAGCGCCAACGCCGACGATCCCTTGTGCGCCCACCTTCTTCTCCCACACCTCCCACCCGCCGACGAGGAGGAGCGGTTGCCGCCGCAGGGGTTTAACAAACTCGCGCTCGTAGACGGCGTTGGTCAGGTTCCACAGGACCCTCTGCGCCTCGGACGAGGTTGACGGGGGCTGCGAGCTTGGCAGCGAGGTCGAGGAGCGGTCGTACACGACCACCATGTCGTAGTAGTGCCTCGCTGCGAAGAGCGCTGCTTCATGCGGCGGAGACAAGCTCAGCGCGTCCTCAATGGCGGCACTTCTGATGCTGCGCGGGGAGAGATCCAAGGAGTCAGAGTCAGAGTCAGGCAAGGCAGATTAGAAGTAGAGGAAGGGAGAGCCCGCACCCGTCGCGCAGGATGATCGGCTCGAGGCACACCGTCTCCGCCCTGATGCGTCCGCGCTCGTACTCTTCGCGCGTGCGCAGGTCGAGCAACAGCACGCGTGGTCCCTCGCCCGTCTCGGCCTTGCTCGTCTGGAGGTACTGCCACAGCTCGGCCGGGCGCACGTCGCTCGCGAAGGGGATCTTGAAGGGGCGCGACGCCGAGGTCGGTGGCGGGAGCGGGGTCGAGGCGGAAGGGCGGCGCGACGATCCGGGAGAGGGAGCGACGGCAGAGGGAGCCTGGCCGCCGCCTGGGACGAGCGCAGAGGGCAGGCTCGCGCGGTTCGTCGTCGACGACTGAGGCGGCGGCTGGGTGCTCGGACCGTGACTCGCCGCAGCTCGCGCCATCGCGTCGGCCCTCTCGGTCTGCTCGCGCGCAAAGGTGCGCTCGTCGAGGTGTCGGGGCTTCGGAGGATGCGGCGGAGGCGGTCTCGCGGGCCGGCCGGGCGTTGCTCCGGGGTCGAATGAAGGCACGGAGGGGAACGAGTATGCCGAAGAGGGGTCCTTGGAGTCGATGCCGCGCTCAAAGTCATCGAGACTGGGGAAAGAGGTCGCAAACTGCGAGGACGACGGCGAGGGAGGCTCGCCGTGGTCTGGCGCGACGCCCACGCCTCCTGCGGGCCCGCGGTCGACGACACCTTTTTGACGGCCGGCGATGGGCGTCCCTCCCTCACGTCGAAACTGCACCGACGAGTCCTCCCACACGGTAGCCGGATCCTGCACCTGCGACGGCGGGAGCACCGGCGGCGCGCTGCCAGAGCGTCCGCCAGCGTTGTCGGCGACCGCGTCACCGGTTCGCGGTGCTCGCGGGGTCGGCGCGACGGGTGAGAGGGGGACGGCGGTCTGTCGCGGCGAGTGAGCCGAGCCAGACGGGCGCTTGGGGGAAGACGGCGGCGAAGGTGGCGCCTTGGTAGACGTTGCGCCCGGCAATCCCGAGGCCCGTAGCTTGGCCATGCGGTCGGCGAGCGAGGTCGAGGGGAACGAGGGAGTCTTTTGAGGTGCTGGCCTGGAGGTCGAGGCGTCCGCGCGAGGCCTGCAGGGTGCGCGCGTCAGTCACCGCTCTGCATTCGCCTTGCGTGGCGGTCCCCAGCGGATCGAGGCAAAGAGTGAATGCGACAGACCCGCTCGGTTCAGGTCCGGCACCGGCGTGCGAAGCTTCCCGCTGCTCGAGCCACGCGACGATCTGGTTCTGCGACGCCCGGGCGCCAGTGACGAGCTGCGGGTGTGGATTCATGTCAGGACGACAGAACGCGTCGGACGAGCCAAGAGGCGAGGAAGCGGGCCTGCGCACCTCCTTGAGTCGCGATACGGCATAATAGTCGTCGGACCGTTCCCGGACGACCTCCTTGTACTGAGGGTGCTTCATGATGATTTGGAGAATTCTGTGTGTGCAGAGAGAGTCAGCTGCGCCCGCTCCGCACCACTTCGACCCCACTTGACGCCCAAGTCGGACGAGGATCCGGTAGGTCGGGTGCCTCGTGCACGCGCGCGAAGACCGCTGCTGTCTCCGCTCTGCCAGAGACACCTTCACACAGACTTGTCGTCCTCACGAGCGTCCGCCCTGCCATGACCGCGCCCAGAGGAAGCACACGACTCACCCCGCAGCGCGCTTGAAGTCGAGGAAGGCCTCGGCGACCTGGGCACGGTCTGCGTTGGCGCGACCCTCTCGCCAGCTGTGCTCAGCGTGGTCAAAAGCGGCTTGAGCTGCGCGGCTCCATGCGCGGACCGAGAACTGGGTCGGGCGGAGCGAGGCGAGTGAGTCGTGGGCCTTGGCGCGCAATTCGTCGAGCGCGGGCGGTGGCCGCTGCGACGAGGTCGCCATTGATTTGCGACGTAGTGGTAGAGCCCTGAGCTCGGGGTCGTAACGCTTGGGCGGAGGGAGGGACAAGAGCGACGGAGCCGGGTGGGGGAGCATGATGACGAGACTCCGCGGCTCTGCTCCCTCCCTTGCAAGCGCATCGCACAGACCTGCTTGCGAAAGTGCTTGACTTGTGGCTTTACTCTCAAGGAGACCGGCGCGCAACTCGACCGGTCCCCCTCCGTGGGCTGGCCGCCTCCCTCTCAGCTCGCAGGCTCACCGCTCTCGTCGCAGGACTCGCTTTTATTGTGGGCACGGCTTGTCGACCCTTTAGACCAGCTTTGGGAACGTCTGACGACCGAGCCGGGTTTTGCGAGCCCGCCCGCTGTGCACGCTCGCTGCGGTGACCCCGCCTGCTCGTGTCCGCCCATGCCGCTTGTAGGCCGCCTGGCCCTCCTGCTCGACCGGGACAGCTCGGACAGTCTGACTGATGCGCCCTGCCCATCGGCGGATGATGCCACACTGGCAGACAGGGCGGCAAGAGCCCAATTCTACGAGAAGTTGCCCCAAAACAGCGTGCACCGACATGTAGGCTAAACAGCGCTCGCTGCATTCAAGCGTTCCCTTAGCTCAGGGGCAGAGCGGGTGACTCCAGTTCGGTCGGTTCACACACCGCCCAGCGACATCATCAGGTCAAGCGTTCAAATCGCTTAGGGGACTACGCAGTCGCGTAGAGCGTCTTTTTGCCGGTGTGACTTGGCGTTGCTGATGCTGCTCGCTCACACGCTTGCCCCAGCTCCCGCTCGATAATCTGGCTTTCTCTCACGCAGCTGCTGAAGCGGGCCCGGCTGAGAAGCAGCTGCGAGCGCTCTGAAGCCGGCGTGGCGTCCAGGAGCTCGCTCTCGCACGCCCTGCGCGGCCAGCAGTCCCAGTTTATCCAGAGTCGCCTCTGTTAATCATTGCACCTGATAGACAGCCACAAGAGACTTGGTTCAGGTGATGAGCGGGCTCCTTGCGAGTGAGCGACGAAGAGAAGGAGAGAGGCTCGAGCGCTCGTAACGAGTCCCCGTTGCCTCGCTTTCTCTTTCGCGTGGGCGGACGGATGCGCTTCTTCTTGCCTGCCCAGGGGCTCCGTCTGTATCCCTTGACGAGCCGCCAGCATCGGGCGAGGCCCGGCGGAACTGGACGCCGCCGCAGGCATCCGCTTTCGAGGTCGGGATGTGAGGGGAGCCGGCGCAAGCGGTAGCCCGTGGGCATGCGCTCTTGTCAGGTCTCCCGCGAGCAGTCTTGCAACCCAGGGGAAGGGCGACACCGAGGCATGCGCCTGACACCAACGCGCTCGCTCACCTCGCCTCTCAAATACGCTTTTGCGGTCTCGCTGCTAGAAGTTGTGCTGTTGGATCACGAGAGCTTGTCCGACGCATCAGGCCTCCCCAACACCACCTAAGTCATGCTTGGCAAGGGAAGCCAGCAGCTATGTGTCTGGCCAGGCGAGGTCAGAGAGCCACAGCGAGGAGACGCGGAGGTCATCCGGCACGGACGCGGACCCCGCAAGCGACTGCCAGCGATGCGTGCAACTCTTGACGCTAGACAGAAGCTTGCACTGGTACGGGTGCGGGGGTTCAGACGCGTACTGTGGGTCGCTCGCCAAGGGGGTCCGTGCCGCACCCTCCGCGCCTTTTTCCCTGGCCCTGCCTGCCTCGTCTTCGTGCTGCAGCTGGTTTTTACTTCTGTCCCACTCAGCAGAAAACATCAGCCAATGAGGGAGAGCCTGCGCTTTGGAGCGTGTGACTGCGCGTATATATTGCGCTATTCTGGATGGCGCCTCCACGAAGTTCCCTTAGCTCAGGGGCAGAGCGGGTGACTCCAGTCGGGCGACTCGCCCAGCGAAATCATCAGGTCAAGCGTTCAAATCGCTTAGGGGACTTTCTTTTGCGTCTCGCGCCCCTTTTTGCCTCGGCTCGACGTGCGCTGTGCATGTTGCGACAGGTAGGAAACGTGTCCCTGCCTGAGCCTGTCACATTTTGCTTAGCTAAAGCGCGCCGCAGTCAAGCTCGTGAGCGCGACAACCCGAGAAGGCCCGCCGAGAGCGACGCCGACTTTCGCTAATCAACCGCTCATGTTGAATAGCGAAAGCCTCAGCCCCTCCCTCCTTGCCTCCCCCACTTCTCCCAGGCGCTCGTCGCCCGCAGCGCCAGCGTCATCCTCAGAGCTCCAGCCAGAGCCTACCACAGGGCACACGCAGCCGCGCACACCAACCGGCGAGCCCGTCGACGCTCGCTCTCGAAGTCACCCAGGACGTCTGTGGCGCCCGCCTCGCCCGACGAGTTGACTCCCCCAGCCATCTCTTGAGCGCACGCATACCGATTGGTGACAGGTAGACTACCACAGCGACCGCGCGCCAAACACCCCGCGCCAAACACCCCCACGGTCCAGCAAGGGTTTCATCGCCGCCTCCCCTCCACACCACCCCGACCACTCGCCGCCCGCCCGCCATGGCCGAGACTGGACAGTGGAAGGAGTCTATCTCCCTCGAGGAGACCAACAAAATCCGCGTCTCGCTCGGACTCAAGCCCATCGCCGACCCGGCCACAACCGCGGGTGCTGACGCCCGACTCGACGGCGACGCCCTAGCCGAGGACAACTACGCCAAGCGCCGCGAGGCCGAGCAGAAGGAGAAGGACGCCCAGGCTCTCAAGGACCGACTCGACCGCGCGCGCAACCAGAAGGACCGCCAGCGCAAGCTCGTCGGTCGAGGCTTGGGCGAGGCAGAAGACGAGGCTGCGCGGGTCAAGCGCGAAGACGAGGTCCCCGAAGGAGAGGATACCCGTGCGTGGATCAAGAGGCAGAAGAAGCGCGCCAAGGAGCTTGCGGCGAAGCGTGCGCGTGAGGAGGCCGAGGCGGACCGGCTCGCGCAGGAGGAGGAGCTCGGGCGCGCGTCCAAGTATGGCGAGGAGGACCTCGCTGGACTCAAGGTCGCCCACGGCGCCGAGGCCTTCGAGGAAGGCGAGGACGTCGTCTTGACGCTCAAGGACTCGCGCGTCCTCGACGACGAGGGTGCGTGCCCTCCGGGTTCTCCTCTCGCGCTCCTTGCAAGCTGACCCCTGCTCGATGTTCTTAGACGACGAGCTGCACAACGTCAACCTGAGCGAAAACGCCAAGACCAAGCACGCGCTCGAGCAGAAGAAGAAGGGCCTGCAAACGTACACCGGCTACGACGACGACGAGTTCGAGGGCGGACCCGGTTCGTCCCGCGGCGTGCTCAGCAAGTACGACGAGGGCTTCGATGCGCAGAAGGACGACGGGTTCCGCCTCGGCGCAAGTGCCCCGTCCGCCAAGGGCAAGGGGCGTGCGGTTGACGGGCCCGGACGCGACGACGCGGGCGAGCGCGAGAAGATCAAGCTGTCGATGGACTACACCAGTGAGCGCATATTCATTCGCTCTGTCGCCCTTCACAAGCTCATGACGTGGTCTCTGGCTGCAGAAACGTTCAACACCGACTACCTGCAAGAGGGCGAGCCCGGATTCAAGAAGCCCAAGGCGGGTCGTATCTCTTCCTCTGGAAATGCTTGGGCTCTCGCTGACATGCCTCCCTGACCGCAGAAGAAGAAGAAGCGTCCTATGCGCACCACGACGATGGCCGACGAAGACGAGGGCACCGCGCAGGCGATGGACGTCGACGGCGAGCCCGCAGCCCCTCGGCAGATTCAGCGCGTGTCGCTCGACGAGACAAACCTCATCGATGACGACGACCTGCAGGCCGCGCTCGCACGGCAGCGTCGCGACGCCGCCAAGCAGAAGATCAAGGAGATGAAGGCGCGCGCGGCTGCAGCGCCGACGACGCCTGCGCCCACAGAGGGCGGCGACGACGCCGTCGTCAAGAAGGAGGACGAGGACGGCGACGCGCTCACGTCGCTTTCGCGGCCGGCGGCAGCGACCGAGGAGGAGGACGACGACGAGGGCGACGTCCTGGTCCTCGACGACACGTCCGAGTTCGTGCGCAACATCTCGCTCGCGGCGACCGCGGCGCAGGAGCGCGCGCAGCGCGAGGCAGAGAAGCAGGAGCGGATCAAGCGCGAGGAGACGGCCGCGGCTGCGGCTGCGGCGTCTACCGCTGCTGCCGGTGCGGCATCGGTCCTCCCGCGGGTCAAGGCCGAGGAGGTCGACATCCCGCTCTCGGAGCTGGATGCTGCGGCGCCCTCGAGCGGCTGGGGTCCGGCGCGCGAGGACGGCGAGGAGGACGAGCCCATGCACGAGGACGTGGACAACGACGCGGCAGCTGCCAACGGCGTGGCGGCGGACGAGGACGTCAAGCCGAATGTCAAGGGCGAGGACGACGACTCGTCGTTCGTGACGACTGGACAGGAGCAGCTCGTCTCGCGCGGCCTCGCGTCGACGTTGTCGCTCTTGCGGCACCAGGGCCTCGTCAAGCCGCGCACGCCCGAAGAGATCGCGCGCGAGAAGGAGTTCAAGGAGCGCGAGGCGTGGCTCGCGGCGCAGCGCAGGCGGGCCGAGGAGCGCGAGCGCGAGCGGCTCGAGAGCCGCAGGGCGGGCGACAAGAAGGACCAGCAGCAGCGCGAGTATGAGAACCGCATGCGCGAACAGCGCGATGCTCAGGCGTCGCTGCAGGCCTTCGCCAACTACAAGCCTGTCGTCAACTTGAGCTACCACGACGAGTTTGGCCGCGATCTGACGCCCAAGGAGGTGCGTCCCCTCCCCTCCCTCTCTGTCGTCCATCAAGCCTCTTGCTGACCCGTCTCCCGAAACCCTCCTGCGCAGGCCTGGAAGCAGCTCAACTACGACTTCCACGGGCATGGCTCGGGCGCCAAGAAGACGGACAAGCGGCTCAAGAAGATTGAGAACGAGAAGAAGCAGGCGGCGATGGCCGCGGGCGACACGCCTCTCTCGACCGCAGCTGCGTTTGCCGCTCGCGCCGAGAAGACGGGCTCAGCGACTATGATCCTCGGCGTCGGCAACAACAAGTGCGTCGTCCGCTCTCCCTGTGTTCGCGCCTCCTGCCGTACCGCCCTCCGTGCTGACAACCTTCCGCCGCGCCGCGCCCGCAGCTCCGCGCCGGTCCAGCAAGACACGCTCGGCGGCATCTCCAAGATCGAGAAGGCCGCCCGGGGCAAGGGCAAGCCCGTCGTCGCGCCCGGCCCTTCCGGCGCGGCGCGCAACGGGCGCAGCACGAGCCAGGGTCCCGCGTCCGTCATTTCCGACATCCCCATGCGGACGCTCCCGCTCCCGCAGGGACAGGGCCAGGGCCGCGGCGCGAGCGGCACGCCCGAGCCTGGCGCGCCGAGGCGCGGGTTCGCGCCTGTGCGGAGCTTCTCGCCTGCGACTGGCGCTGGCTCTGGAGGCGGCGAGGAGGGCGGCACGCCCGGTCCGAGCGGAGGGGCCAAGCTCAGCATTGCGGTCAAGCGCAAGGCTGGAGACGAGGGCGAGGGGAGCCCGGCGAGCAAGCGCCGTGGCTGAGCGGGCTGTAGATGGCTTGGGAGCGAGCGACGTACGTTCCTCCTTTGAGTCCACCGTCGAAGGAGTTGGAAGACATACGTTGCCACGCTCGTGTCATTGCGGCGCCGCCTCCTGCCCCTCGGTTTCCGCCGCGGTCAGCTCGGCGATCTCTGCGTGGATCTCCTGCACCTCCTCCTGCACCTGCGCCGCGAGCGAATCCCGTCTGGGTGCGAGAAAGTTTCCTCAGGTCAGCTTGAGTTGAGCTGAGAGAAGCAGGGAGGAATGGCCGAGCGCACAGTGCGTTCTTCTCGGCAACGGACGACGCAAAGTCGAGCTCGGGTTGGAGCGTCTCGAGGCGGCGCATCTGGTCGCGCTCGAGGGTCTGCGAGAGATGCGGAGGTCAGTGTCGCCTCAACTACGTGCAGCAGCAGCGCCGGCCACGCGACGCCTGCGGGACGGCCACGCAGAGCGATCCAGCAAGCGAGGGAAGCACGACGCACTGCCCTCATCCTCTCGCTCTCCCACCCCTCAATCCGCCCAACCACGCCTTGCAAGTCCTCCCTCCCCCACTTGTCGCCCAGCAGGCCCCGCAACACCCGCGCCTCCTCCTTGAGCTCGACGAGGCCGCCGAACCCGATCTGGAGCGCCTGCTCGAGCTCGGGCTGCGAGGGCGGGCGGATGGCCTCGATTGCGCAGGTCGACCGCGGGGCGCCTTCGGGTGGCGGGGCGTCTGAAGAGGGGGAGGAGGGGGAGGGGGCGGCGAGCGCGTCGCCGGACGAGGGGAGAGGAGTGCCCAAGCCGGAGAGGAAGGACGACAGCGCCGAGTCGAGCTCTGCTTGCAGGGCGCGGCGCGTCTCGAGGAGGCGGGTGTAGGCGCGCAGGGTCGCGAGGAGCGTTGTAGGCGCGGCGGGAGGGAGAGGGGACGGGTCGAGAGAGACGGCCATGGTGGGCTGTCACGGTGGAGGGAACGGGGTAGGCGAGCTGCCGGGCTCGGGGACGAGACGTCGACTGATCTATTGAGGAGTGATCTGAGAGAGAACGAGGAGGTCAGCGAGTTGCACCTTCGGAGGACCACACGGCCGAGGGGAGGAGCCGGGCGCGCAACATGTTCATCGCGACGGTCGACTCGTGCGACGCTTTGCCGCCAGTAGTGCACGCTAGGAAGAGCGCGGCGCTTTTCGTGGCCTCGCTAGCCGGCGCTCCCGCGTGCGACCGCCCGGCCGACAACCATCGCACCTCCCCGAGCTGGCGAGAGCGTCGCAGGCCGCGCGAAGTCGGTAGCGACTGCGAGGGTAGCCTACTGAAACTGGATGCGCAATCGCTGACTCACGGCTGGTGAAAGAGCGCGAGGAAGGACCGAGGCAAAGGTGGGGCGGGCGATCAAGTCAACAGGGAGGGGACAGACGTCGTAGGTGGCGCAGACGACAGAGGCAAGGTCGATCGCAAGAGCTCGCGAGGAGGTGGGCCAGCAAG